TCGTTTTCGCTGCCAGTCCCCAGATTTGGGCCGTGTATGTTAAAATATGTAGGACTAAGTATGCTTGTATAGCAAGACTTCTTCTTTATTACGGGGACACCTCGCCCCTGGTCCCGGAGACGAGTCCATTGTCAGGATAGTGCTGAGGACCCGTGATGTATAGCAAGACTATATTTCTTAATGAGAGAGGGAAGTGTCTTCCAATGAAGAGAATGGCTAAATGAACTTTGTTCCAAAATCAACGCTATAAGTGACATGTTTATTGAGGTGACCTTGCTGTCAAGTACAGGCTCTAGGTATTTTACTTTTTTCCCCACGAAAACTCGTCGTCAAAGGTTAGTTTGTTGGAATGGCCTTTTCAAAAGAGTATGCCATGCGTTTTCTCTGTGTTAATGGCAATACGCCATACTCCACGATCTTCACCATAAGCTCATTTGATTCAAAGTTTCAACTTCTTTGTTCAACTTACTACTTTTTGTTGGTAAAATTTCGCTTAATTTTGACTCATCTACAAGCTTCAGACTAGCATACTAGTCATCACCTGAATTTGTTTTTTCTATTCACCAATTAAAATTATTTGCAGTTGGGGCTTTTCTTTCTGGTTTTCATGAAAAGTAAAAGCTTTTCGCACTGCGACTGAAGTCATCTAATAGTAGTACTAGCAGTAGAGAGTACAGGTGACAATTAGGAGTTGCTAAATAAGAAGAGATAATTTTGATATATTATAAAGTAAACTCCATTCGAATTTCGTATCGAATTTATCCTTCCTTCATCATGGATCAGAAATAAACAATTGAATCCAGTTTTTTATCTTAGAGATAATATGTCACTTATATATATATATACAATAAAATAAACCCTGTAAGTAGATTTTAATAACTTTGGATGTTTGTATTTGTACTTAAATTAATTGCTGATTTAAAGCCCTTATAAAAACAGCATATCAAAAAGTGTCTCTGTCTGTATCTGCAGCCAATAAAGAGTTACTAATTGTCAAGCTGATATACTTTATCAAAAGAAAAATTGAAGTGTCTAATTTTTTTTAAAAAAAAAGGTGTTTCAGACATGTATACAACTACCAGAATCATTTGGAAACGTCTGTTTCTATTTTCTTTCAGATTCACCAAATCTGAGGGGTATTTTTTATGAAAGTATTCCGACGACAGTGGATGTTCTATTCCATGTTCAGTCCACGAGTTACGAAATGTTTAATGATGCTTAGCTTATTCTTGTGCCTGTTCACATATGGCCAGTACCACTTGAATAGGCAGACCTCTCTTATTCAAGTTCAAGTCAAGCCAACATGCGCAAATGGAATCACAAAAGGTAACAACTAAGAACTTACGTTAAAAAATGCAGTATCGATTGAAAATTCCAATACTTTTACAATCCTCAAATTTCAATAATCTGAATAATTAATTTTTGTTGATTTATATCAGGGTTTCTTAAACTTTTTTCATTAAAGACGCTATTTTAGAGACAAAAAATGTTCTGTGAGCCCATTTATGGTTGCAAAATGTTTGAGCGACCACCAGTTTACAGGATGATTTAGAAGTCAGGGTGAACTTTGAATTGAATAATTCGTAAACAAGTGAAGATAGAAAGTTACAGTTTGTTTATAAAGGATGAAAAAAAAACTCATGTTTTTTTTTTTGTCACGAAACCATAATTTAGTGTTATCTAGTTTACAATCTAAACCAACAGATTGCTCTGCAGTTGACGGAGCTAGTATTGTACAGATACAGAAGTAAACAACCTACAGTTTTGTCATATCAACTAAAATGTGGCTTGCTGCTGTAAAAAAGTGTGATTCCTGGGTTGGCAGCTATGTTATTTAACTAATTTTGCCAATAAGTTTTGTTTTCTTCACAAAAGCAAGCCGACTTGTTTCTCTCCTTTCTGCACAAACGGTCTCTTCCTATCGTCATTTGTTAGCGACTTATTGATTTTTAAAGTTTTTCTTGACTTTTGGATCACCCTGAATATATAAATAATAAAACAAAGCAGGAAATTAAGGAAATATTTTATCAAAAACAAAAATATATATATTTAAAACATTTATTTGTAAATTTTAAATGAAATTTGTTAAAAACTCTTGCTGTGAATATTTTCGATACTACATAATTCACTTACGCTACCCTGCTTGGGTTAGCAAAACTTAAGTGAAAGGAAAATATTTTAAACATATCTATTTTACTAAATCTTTAAGTTTACAGGAATATAACTCAGATTAAAAATTCGGTATGAAAAACAGCTGTGGCGTCTCATTTTATTTAATCATTTGTGTTTTCAAAAATCTTATGATCTTCAAGATAATTCTTATTTGTAAAGCAGGCAAAAATCGTGGTGATCTTTGAGGAAAAATGAATAATTTCTGGGAAAGAATATTCCGTTCACATATATTTGATTAAATGATGTGCTGTGTCATCGATTAATATCAGCTGGTGTTTTTTAGAAATTATATTTTTTCTCTCTTTTACCATCTATTGATTTTCAAAATTTCTTATCAAGCCGTCTAAAAGCGTTTCGTATTCATTCTGTAAATTCCCGAATACTTGCAAACTTCTGAGCTTTTTTTTTGTTCTGGAATATTTGCCGCATATTTATCAACCAGTACACGTCTTCTACCGCAACGGAATTTTGTTGAACACGGCCGCAAATGTTTAATGAAAATATGAACACGTATGCGTTCGGTACCTTATGTGAGCGTAGATTATTATTCGGTAGAGAGTCGTTGAATGCCTAAGTGAAAACTTCGGTGAATTGAAAATTTAATTTGTTGAATGCTTTTTAGCGTAAAAAAATGAGAAACAAATGCATATTTGCTGCCATATTTGAAACATGGAAATACAGGACAGATGTGTTCGATAATCCGGTTTTTATAAAAACAACATTTTTTTTACTATAAAACAACAATTTTTATGACAGAAAATAATTTTTCTAACTTCCTCTACTTTGAAAATTTAAAGTACACATTTACTCTTTTAGCAAGCAAAGTAAAAAATTTCGAATAAAATAATATTTTTTCTTTAGACGATTCTTAAAATTCGCTATATCAGAAATAACGAATTCAGTCTTGTTTAAATACGTATTTTGTACTTCTAAACATGAAACTGCTGTTACAGTATAAACGTTATGTGTCTTCCCTGCTAGAAAGTGTATATATAAATTCATAAGTGAATAACGAAGCAAACAGTACATTAAAATAGATAAAAAAATGTCGCCGAAGTTAATAATAATTCACTTTGAATAACCTTAAAGGAAGTTTTAATTAACTGATAATAACCGTAACTTTTCACGAAGTGCTTTGAAGCCCGTAGCCAGATATGATACTAAGCCAAAATGCAATATTTAGTCATGCGACAAATAACTCGTCTTCGAAATTACTCTAAGAAACAACTCGTTTTGCAAAAGAATATAATCTATGAGATTAACTATAATATGAAGACTGAAAGTAAACATAGTGTTACTGTTAAATGCTTTCATTTATTATGTTTATTATTCATCTATTTTGGATTCAGTAATCTGGATTTTTATGTTATCGATATTTGGATTAATGAGAAATTTTTGTTCTGAGATATTCCATGGAAGTTTAACTTCTCTTATGAATGCTCTGAACGACAATGGCATTTCATGTGAAAAAAAGTATGGAAATTCAAGACAATTAGCTGTTGACCTTATTTTTAGAACACGGTTCAAATATCTGTAGAGTGCTATTAATAACAGTCGTCTATCAGCAGCGTGAGTACACGTCTCTTCCCAAGCATATCTCCAAAACATTTCAGCAATTCTCCCATTCCCGTCAGCTTTACGAGATGATATTTCAAAATTCACGTTAAACACCGTGAAATGGATTGCCCAGCATCGGTTTGCAGCCACTGACATAATCACTGGACCAGTTATACTTACCGCTGAGACGAATTATTCAAATGATATGGCCGTGTTGAACGTCACGTCCTTCATACTTGGATGATGTCGAAACAATTAACCAAAAAATTAAATCAGGAATGCCCACCCAAACCGTAGCGGGGAAAGTTATTTTTGGCTCAGCTCTATGACCACCTTTCTTGGCAACAACAGGGGCCCGGAATGCTACAGTGGTGCGAGTCGGTGTCTTTATGTTCTTGCATTAAGGCCTGTATTGAATTTATCGCTTACGGTATTGATTGAGATTAATTTAAAATTTGATAATCAAGTGCAATTTGGCAAGAAGTGTGATAGGACTGCTTGGGTCTTCTAATAAATTGCATGATAAACAAATTAAAAAAATAAACAGTAGGAAAAATGTACTATAGAAGAATTTGTTTGCAGATAATTTTTTTCTGGTCCAAATGTTGAAGTGGCATGGAGCAACAAGATGTTGACGTTTTCCAATTTTTAAAAAGAATTCTATTTATTCAAGTGAGTTACTTTTCACAAAAACATCTAATCTAATTTTTTTTAAAGAAGGCAATTAACAATCCAAATAGACACAGAATTCCAAATTTCGCTTGTTAATTCCCATAAACAAATAAAAAAAAATTAGACTCAGGTTAGCTCACAAGTATTTGCCACCAGATAGTGTTAAGAAGGTTAACTAGTTCCATTAGAACGTAGTGGGTGAAGGCGTTGCATGGCTGAGAAACTTCAATCTTAAAGTTATGAGTTCTATCCTCAAGTTGTACTCTTGTAACCAGTATTAATCAAAAACTAGTAGATCGATGTGAGCTTTAGCAATGTATTGTTTATTGTGGTTGAACTGGCTGTTGGAGGTTTTCCTCGATGCGAAATACAAATGTGGGCCAGTTCTCTCTTGAACGCCCGCCAGGCAGGCAACCTAGAATAGAGACATGTACTAGAGATGAAGTTAGATTTCTACGTCAGGTAATTATTAGATGCTCGAAGTTTCTTTGGCCAAATGGAGATATCACAATTCTCCTTTATCATAAGAAGGGGCGGCTCGTATGTAGGGACTTTACACTACGACACACCCCTGACTCTAGATATAAAAAGGAAGATGCCAACAGCACGCGGTGTTCCCAGGTAGACACCCTCACAAGTACTGAAAGCGCTGGATGCTGCTTAACTGTGTTGATCAGACGACAACCGGTGCTTTCAGCATGGTATGGCCTTTGTCCGTGTATAGGGATTGCGGAACTGCAGCACCCCAACTTTTTTCACATATAAATCTAATTAGTTATTTATTTAGTTTTTCATGTAACATTTAATCCATCAACAATTTAATCTTTCGACGTTTTCTTCTTCAGCCAAAAAGTTGAAAAAAAAAACCCAGCGGGAGTGGTCTCCCCCAAACTTTATCGTATACTCCCTAACACATGTGGAGAAAAAATAAATGAAATGGCAGAAAACGTAGGTGGAGAAACATAGGTGGAGAAAAAATAAGGTGAACAGCATACCACGAGTTTCCCTTGCGCAGCAAGGCAAAAGACGGAAGTAAAATAAAGAAGCCCGCTCCTCTCCGTAATATGGCTGTGCTTCATTGCAAGATAAAGGAAATCGAATATGCAAATTAAACGCCTTTTTTAACCGATTGAAACGAAAATTGAACACAGATCTACAATTAAGGTTCGAAGACCACATACTGATTTTCATTTATCTAAGTAGTTGCATTTAGGAATTATGGCGTTCAGAAGCATGCGATTATACAGACCGACAGATAGTCAACGCGTTGACGGATTTGGTCCAAAATTTGATACAAACCTACATTCCTGATGTTAAAACTGTGAACTAAATTTTATCCACCTAGATATTTAAGTTTTTGAGTTATCGAGTTCTCATGAACACGGACAGAGAGACTTCCCGTGGACGGATTTTGTCCAAGATTTGATAGAAGCCTACAAATTATGTGTAAAGCCATACCAAATTTCATCACTGTAGCTTTAATAGTTTTCGTGTTATCGTGTTCACAGACAGACATTAATTCCAAAATTGTGTTTTTCGGACTCAGGAAGGTCTAAAAAGTGAAGATTCATCAAAATCTCGAGTTCGAATTTTTTGACGATTGCAATGCTTTCTATTTGTATACTTCGTATACTAGAAAGTAAAAACCAAGGCTACTTGAGAGAATTTTCCCTATCCGCCGTCTTCTCAAACCCTTTCCGAGCACTGCGATTTCCCTTTGTACCAATTTCCTTGTGTTGAGGGCGAGTATTTGCAATGCACTTTAAAAAATTACGGCTTTTAACTAAGGTAAAGTACTGCGATCGTTGGCAGTACTTAGAGGGTCCGAGGAGGGTTTTGCAGATCAGAAAACTGTCGATGAAGAAGAAAAATGAGATATTATGTCAAGTATTAATCTTAAAAATACTATATGTCAAGAACTAAGTAATTTTCTTCAGTTAAACGACAATCTAATTACTATCGTAAATCCTCGGAAGAAATATTTGTTTGCATGTTGCATAATAGCAATCTAGCGACATTTTTATTCTTAATAATAAAAGTTTATAAATAAAGAAAACACTAAGTTAAAATGTCGAATAAATTTTAAAATTTCGAATTCAATCAAAAAATTTCTCTCTATATAAGTTTTTCTCTCTCTCAGAATATTACTAAAAAAAATTCGATTTGGCGAATTTTTCGATGATCGATACTGTTTTTGTGAAGGTACGTATCCTCGATGTTAGATAGGTTTTAAAAGATGAGTTTAAAATGTTCTTTTCAAATTTTTTAATATCTCTTGTTTAATCAATTGGTGAATATCAAAATTATAATATGGATTGTAAGAAATTAAGAAAAAAAGTAATTTGTGAGCAGAATTTCCCAGGGAAAAGTGGATTACTTCGTGATTCGTAGAGAACAAGTTCATCAAGCATCAATAAAAAAATGCACGACTTCTTTTAGCATGCATATTTTCTTTGTTCTGTTTCTTAGTGCAGCCGCCAACTCTTCATAATGTGACATTTATCTTAACTGGATAATACTTGTAGTGACCCTGAAAAAGCTTGGTGTGACAAGAATACGTGTCGCGTGATCTTGTGCCATTTCTTTCAAAGAACATTCTCTTAAGTGAAAATGTCTGGTTTATTTTTAGTAAAAGACGATGGAAAGATCACTTTTCTTGATTGTCTAGCATAGAAAAATATTTCTAAATAAATATAAAATTATGAAACATTAAAAGCGATCATTACTGATACGTCAGGTAATGTACTTTACTCATTCACCGGTTATTTCTGAACTGTACCTGTCACAATGTAGCTCTTGTACCATAAAAATCTCATACAACCGATTTTGGATCTGTAGAAAAATTTTCATGCTTTATGGAATGTTCGCCAGCTGATGTTCTATAGCAGTGGAAAGGCATAGATTTTTATATAAAATGCCTCAAATGGCTTTTTTCAATAATAGTTTAGTTTAGTTATCTTAACGTCCCTTTTTGAAGTAACACGAGGAAAGACTTTGTAATTTTGTACCGTGGTCAGATAGCGAAGATTATGCGCTATGCATTGTGATTTTACAGTAATGCACGTTAAAGTTTCAATAATTTTCCCATTAGAGATCAAACATTCGCTGTTAAGGGAAATTAAAGGTGAATTAATACTCATTTAGAGAAATTTGATGCAAAACATCCCAAGACACTCTTCTAAAAATTGCACCTAAAATTAAAAAACAGCGGTATGTAACTGTACTAAAAATAATAATAATAAATTCAAAATGCGGATTGCAGATGGCATACAAGCTCTATGAAAAGAAGATATAAATATTATTACAGTATCAAAGCTGCAACCATTAATCCAAGCATATTTTGAAACAACTTAAAGTGTTGCCGTCCTAATTACATTTGAGACATAAAACACACTCTGTACCTTCTATATACATGGACGCCGATAAAGAATGTCAGTTCTACTTCCAAGTAGAGTTGTCCTGAAACAGGAAAGTATGAAATTCTTGATTAATTGTTCAAATCATACTATCTTGTGTTCTATACTTATTCTATCTTTTAATTAAAATGGTAAGAACATCTGAAATTCAAATTAGCAGAAGTGATAATACTGTGGAACTTGGTTAATTCTAAGCTGACGGAACCTTAATAAAAATTCAATTTATGCAGAAATTCGAATTAAGAAATACTGCATCTAAAAATGAGTACAACTAGAGAACACGACAATTTTAAACTAAGATTTATTTTCAATATTTAGCATTTTTATAAGTACATAGTTAATAAATAAACAATAAATAGTTTTAATGAATAAAATGATAATAATTATAAATTTTCTTATGATTTGAAAACTAATACACTCATTAAATAAGTAATTATGATAAATATTACACAGCTCTTTACAGTAAAACTTCAAAATAAACTATACAGTTCATTTTTAACGTATTCTAAAGTGTTGAAAACAGTGGCAAATTTTTTACTGCGTTTTTAATTGAATACATTGTACAGTAGTTAAGTCCTCGAACAGAATAAAGGGTCGAAAAAAATTATACGCTTACTATTACTGAGAACAGAAAGTAAGGACGTATTTAACTAACTAAAACAATTAGGAATTAACACAATTTTTTACAATTTTTACACAAAGTTTTGACATAAAATTAAACTAAAAAAATCGAATTATAGACAACATTTAAACTTTATGTTAATACCAAATTCAAGGGACTTGAAAAAAAAAAACTTGAATTACTGACAAATTTAAATTAAAACGCGCGAATTAACAAAGTGCCACAATATTAAATAGTTGACTCTAAAAAGAATTTCATCTCTTATATTTATATTTTCAAATTAAATTTGCACAACTTCACTTTACTCTCTGTCCTGACGCTACTTCCCTTCAAAGTTACTCTTTTCCTTTAAGTAATTAAATAGCAAAGTTTAAACGACAATGCATCCTGATGGTATTTATTACAATGTAAACCCAACTAACCACGTTTTCTACGGCACTTTAGCAGTTAATAAATGATTAACGTGCCATAAAAAAGTTAAACGGGGGAAATTATCCGTTAATCCCCCCTCATATTTTATCAGAATAAAGCTATCATTAAGTGTAATTATCTGACTCATTAAGTGGGTAAGTATGTCTTGTGGTACATAATAATAATTTCCTAAACTGTAATTTGTTCAGCATTTGCTTTTAAAAGCATTTTCCAGAGTATTTAATGGCATTTACGTGAATCGGAGTTTAAAATTCGGAAATAGTTTTTGTTAAAAACGTTGTTAGGACTTAGGTGGATGTCAAACAACCAGGAAAACATTAAGAAACTAACTTATAAATCATATTTAATCGAAATAAGAAAATAACATTTTTACATTGATCTCTAGAGAATGTGTGTGTGTTGGCGCTCTACAGGACAGACCGCTAGAGCTACGAAATTTGGCACGAACATTCTTTGCAGGGTGGGGATCTGCACCACGGAGCACTTTTTTTGAAATTTTAATCAGAATTTTAATTAATTAAAAATTTTGGCGTTTTTAAAGAGAAAATTAGCAGAGCATATTATGCAGAGATGAGAAACAGGTTGAAGTAATCATCGTTTATTTTTAAACACATAGACGTAAGACAATTATAACGACACAGACATGAAGACGTTTTACAAGTACATAGAAGTACATATCAAGCCACTTACCGGCTGTCCATGTCAAAAATATCAAATGGAATCATGGGATACGTGTGACGTCACGCAGTGACGTATCGCATCATAACATCATCGTATGTATGACATCATCACAATTGCTTGTGATTGGTTGAATATTAAATGAGGAGAAAGGTGGAAAGTAAACTGCTTATTATTTCCAACAGTTTTTCCTTAATAACTTTCGAAAATATTACAGCACAAAAATAATTTTTACGCCATCTGAAAGTTCCAAAAATTACCTTTTCAAAGATATGAATTAAGTTGCCGTACAATTTTTTCTCTAATTTTAATAACCTTTTAAAAATATTGTTTGGCATTATTTACAACAATACTTTTTATTGTTGAAACGCAATTTAAACCGTTTTCATTGTTTAAACAAATATTTAATTGCCTGTTTCTCTTCGATTGTTGAAAGTTAAGATAACAACCTACTGAATTTTACTTTCGTTCTTTATTTCATCAATTTTTTCTGTGAATCTGTAAAGAATCCTTGAGATAGTAAGTATATTAGGAAATAATCCAGTAAGTTGAACAATTATG